CAGAGTGCTGCTGAGGTCAAGTATGGATAGAGCAAGGCATGCTGGGACCTACGGACATTGCAGCCCAGCCCAGTGAAGCTAACAGTCTGATGGCTTCACTATGGAATTCTGTAGCCCACATTTGACCTAGCACTTGACTTTGGTCTCTCCAGATTAGAGCTGGCTGAAATGTTGGGGATGAATAGTTTATTAGCAGAAAAATGCAGTTTGGGGGTCGACCAAAACTATTTGTGTATTTGGGTCCAATTTGGTGGATGGTTTTGGCTGTTGGTTTGTTTTTTTTTCTGAAAAAGGTTGGAACGTTTAAACATTTTCTAAAGGAAACCTTTTCACGTTTCGGTTGGAAACAACCTTACCTTTAGAAATGTATTGAAGTTCTTATTAAACAAAACAAAACAAAAGAAACAAAAGGGTGAAAAATATCTTCCAAAAGAAACAAATGAAAAAATAAAGTCCGGCCAAACAAAACATCTTGTTCAACCTGACACAATGTTTTTCGTTTGCTTGTTTCGATAAGAAAAAAAATCTCTCAGTAACACTTCCTCCCTCCCCAATATTTTGGTTTGGTGCCTACCTGAAAAAAAAAATCAGTGATTTACTCAGCTTTGCTTCTGATATGGCATTTCTCTCTCTCTTCCGTACAGGCTCATTGGTCCATATTTGCTTATATAGCCCCATGCTGAAATGAGGAGAGCGACCTGAGGGAGGGGGTGGAATCTCCATCCCTAGTCATTTTTAAGTCTCAGCTTGACAAAGCCCCGGCTGGGTTGATTTAGTTGGGACTGGTCCTGCCTAGAGCAGGGTGCCGGATTTGATGACCTTCTGAGATCGCCTCCAGCTCTATGATTCTGTGATGAATTAACTCTGTGGCGTTTCTCTTCAGGAATTCAAAACTAACCACTGATTATTTCCTTCAAGTTACACAAAACAGAAATAACTTCTAACCGCGGAGGCTGCAGCTGCTCCTGGGTAAATTTCTCAGCGATATCACAGGTAAAGCTGCAGACCAGATTTTATCACTGGTGAAGAGGAAAAGAACTGTCATGCCATTCACCGGCGGGACAAAAATAGCTAATGGGGCTGCTTCATAGAGCTAGTTCCCTATTTCTGCCTCTGGGGAAAAAACAAGAGAAGGACGGCAAGTCAGACGGCACCTCCACCCAAATACCCATTTCCAGGTATTTCATTCCTTTAAGAAAGAAATATAAATTGGAGTGGTCTTCCATAACACCGTGGGGATTTCCCTCATTAAATACAGCATAACTGAATATTACTGTGACGTTACCCTGCCCCCAGCAAAAGGCAGGATGGCTACGAGCTGACACTGCTGCATGAGGTACCAGGAATATGTCAGTCCAGGGCCTGGAGGGATGCTACAGGAGGCTTTTTAAAACCCTCAACAGCTGGTGTAATCAACAGTATGGCTGCTATTGACAACCTCCCACCGAGGGGCAGCGTTCAACCAGCGCTGAGCGCTTTGGCGAATTCCAGCCTTCGGGGGTGAACGTGGGCAGGTCTTTTTACCTCAGTTTCCACACCTGGAAAAGGTGGATGATCTGCTCGTGGCCCTCCAAAGAGGTTGGGAAGATACATCAGTTAACGTTTGCCAAAAAAAAGTTAAGATCGTTGGGTGGGCCATACGGTAAGAATACGTTAGGCGTCTCGGTGCATACTAACCCCTCTAATTACGCTACTTCCTCATCAGAGGGGCTGAACATCCATGATGCTGAATCAAGTGAGAACGGAAGGCGCGCCGCACCTCAGAAAATTGGATTCTCTTCTACACTGTCTCCCTGCACATGGCAAATTGCTGTAGTGCGAGGCCTCCTCTTCCAAAGGCCACCTGGAGAAAGCAGCCACCATTCAATAGCTCCGCTGGCAGGGTGGAGACTTTTATGTGGAGAGCCCAGCATGTTATCTTTAGGTGGCTGGCAAGAGTCGGGCTTGAAGGAGAGCTTCTTTTTTCCTCCCCTCATGAAAGCCTTGTCTACACTGGCACGTTTTTTGTCGCTCAAAACTGTCTTTCATAGAATCATAGAACGCTAGAACTGGAAGGGACCTCGAGAGGTCATCGAGTCCAGTCCCCTGCCCTCACGGCAGGACCAAGCACCGTCTAGACCATCTCTGACAGGTGTCTGTCCAATCTGCTCTGAAATATCTCCAGGGATGGAGATTCCACAACCTCCCTGGGTAACTTATTCCAGTGTTTCACCACCTTGACAGGTAGGGAGTTTTTCCTAATGTCCAGGGCTCACCAAGCGGCGGCAA